AAAAAAAAAAAAAAGTCAGCTCGGGCTGCCTCACGCCCTCCAGGTTCGGATCTTCACATACACGCTGTTCCAGGCCGTTTTCTCAGGGCCGGGAACGGCCGGCCGCCGTGAGCAGTCACTCGCGGCCCCCTTATCTCCCAGCCGGGCCACCCCACAGCTGCCTTCCCCCTGGACAGACGGACACCGCGCACCGAGGAGACCCGTGGCTGGCCGCGTCTGCCCGGCGTTGACTGCCACGAGCCAAGCGCTTCTCCGCATTTGCAGGAGTCTGTGGGGGGCGGCTTGTTCTTGTCCTTTTAGGGTCTTGCTGTTTCTAGCCAGATCTGTGTGACCTCTCCGTATATGAAGAGGAACCTCCTTTACAATACTTCTTTTTCCACACTAGACTATTTAGCTGCAGGTGTTGCAGAGAGCGGGAAAGCGGCTCCGTGAGCCACCTGCTCACGCCGGTGTCTATGGGGTGGAGCTGCTGGCCATGACCCAGGGCCAGCCTGCCTGCAGGAGCCTGGGTGTCCGTGGTGCTTTGTCTCTGCCTCCCTAGAGAAGAATAACCCCTGCTGGCCCCAGGGTTCTAGCACTTTCCTCCTCCAGCCCACCCGCCGCAATCCCCGAGGGGTTGGTGGGGTTCTGTGTCCAGGGAGGCTTCGGGAGTGAGGGAAGCGATGCTCTCGGCAACCCCCGCCGCCATCAGTGCAGCGTTCAGGCGGCCCAGCAGAGCCCTTCCGACAGGACGTAGTGGCCAAGGAGGCCGGGAAGGGCAGGAGAACAAAGGGTCTCACTGTGCACGCAGACTCGGGAACCAGTATCAGCTACAGCCCAAGCTTAGCCGGGGGCACTGAGCTTACCCTGTTCAAAGCACCCACATCTCTCCCCCCATTAAAAAGCAAAGACTATTTTTTCTCTGCCAGGTACAAGTCTGGGGCCTAATTATTTCTCCCCAGAGAAGCAGAGCAAGTCACAGCCCCTGGCAGAGCGGGGAGGGATTGCTGTGTGGGCCTCGTGAGCTCGTGGCAGAAGCCTGTGTCTTCCCTTGGCCACAAACCCCCCCCACCCCTTTGAGAAGCTCTCAGAGGTGTCTCTGATCCCAAAGATCCAGAGCCAGGGCCGTAGGCCACCCGAGGGGGCAGCGTCCCCAAGGCGGGACCTACTAACGGTCTGGGGACCCCGTCCCCTTGTGTTTGCAGTGCTGGTGAAGGGCCAGGTCACCACCAAGTACTACCGGCTGCTGAGCAAGCTGGGCGGCTGGGTGTGGGTGCAGAGCTACGCCACTGTGGTGCACAACAGCCGCTCGTCCCGGCCCCACTGCATCGTGAGTGTCAATTATGTCCTCACGTAAGTCCGACGTATTTGTTTCTCTCCCTGCTCTCCTCCCGACCGCATCCGACCCTCTGTTCACTTCCATCTCTCCTCTTCCTCACTGTTCATTTGTCTCCTGTTCTGTTCTGGTTTTATCTAGCGGACCTGTCACCGGGCAGGGTCCACACCGTGTCCGCGCTTGGACCCGGGGCCGGGCGCAGGGTGGCGGGGGGCACAGGAACGGGGAGCCCTGCCGGGGCGTCCAGGCGAGGGGAGTGGGTGCCCTCCCGCCCCCACTGTGCCGCACACCTGTGCAGGTGCCTGTCCCCACAGGCGGGCGGGAGAGCTCCCGTTCCCGCCCTGTCTCCCCGTGGAGCCTGTTGAAGGTGATGGTGCCGTTGGCTCCTTTCAAGCCTCAGAAGGTCCAGCTGAGGCACAAATGCTTTTAAGACCATTACAAGCCACAGGACACGTCCCGGGACCTGCTCGCTGTGGCTACTGCGAGCTAAATCTCCTCTCACCCAGCTCTGGCCCTGAACTTGAACCCCGGCAGGTGCTCCGCCCCCCCCTTCCCAGCCCCCCAGGTGCTTTCTCCTGCAGCGAGGATTTAGGCTCTTGGTTCTTTCGTCGGATTTGCCAGGTGCTGGGTTGCTTTTTGCTTTTTGCTTTTTTTTTTTTTTTTTAAGAAGTGGAGCCACTTTAGCAAAACTGTAGGGGAGAAGACACTTTGGCTCCTTGGCTCTGCAAACAGCTGAGGGCCGGTGTTTTGAACGACTTCCTCTCCCACGAACGTGGCCTGGCCAAGTTGGCTCTTTAGGCAGAGATGGTGCCGCTGTGGGAGTGGAGGGCGGCAGCCAGGATCCGGGCCTCGGGGCCCCTCCGGACGCTAACTGGGGAAGCCGGACTCAAGCGGATGCCTGTGTTTCTGTCCTGTCCTTTTGCCTTGACGCCCTTCCTACTGTGGCGGGTGTCCCCAGGAAATGCGTGGGGGACGGTGTGGGACTGGAGCGCCATCCCGGGAGCGGCCCCACGCAGCTCAGCGTCCCGCAGCTCGAGCCTGCAGGCCCACCGGTGGCCAGCTGGGGCAGTGGCTGCCGGAGCTGCCAGGGACGCCGCTCCGGCCGGACGTGACCGTCCCTCTCTTGCTTCCCAGGGATATCGAGTACAAGGAGCTGCAGCTGTCCCTGGAGCAGGTCCCCACGTCCAAGTCGCAGGAAGCCTGGAGGACCGCCCTGTCTACCTCACAAGAAACTAGGAAATTAGCTAAACCCAAAAACACAAAGATGAAGACTAAGCTGAGAACAAACCCTTACCCTCCACAGGTGAGACTGCCCCGGGCGGCGGCTGCCATGTCCCGCGGCGGGGCAGGGGCAGGCTGGCACCTTAAGGAACCCGAGGCTCTGAGTGTGTGGCGGGGTGTCCCGCCCACGGCAGGGCAGAGTCCAGTGTCTCTGGGCTGTCTGGGCCATGGACACAAGCCCTGGTAGCCGTACGCAGGGCCTGGGAGGCTTGCTGGCGTGGTCTGAGCTCCGCGCATCCCGCTCCCATCGTGACTTATTTTTTTTCTTTAAGATGTATCTATTTGCGCATACAGAACTGGGGTGCAGGCCAGAGGTGCAGGGGCGGTGAGAGGCTTCCCCAGAGACAGAGTGGGGAGCAGGACAGACAGATTAACAAAGTCCACTGCTGAGGGGAGCAGCGGGCGGGTCAGGAGAGGTCTGCCGCGCCCTGTGGGTCACCTCCAGGGCAGGCGGGGATCGAACTCGTGCTGAAGTGGCCTTAGCTTCTCAGTGCTGAGCTTTAACCCGCTGCAGGGAGGGCCCCATAGTGACTTTTTTTTTTGCATTTTTAAAAATTATTATTATTTTTTAATAATATAACAGTTTATTTTTACATCATTTTGTACATTTTTTTTATCTCAATTGTAATCCCTGTGGGTTTCCCATCACTGAGTCATAGTGACTTTTTTTAATGAAAACTTTTCAAAAACTTTTCAAAAAGTCAGCAGCACGCCATGTGTCTGGTGTGTGCCAGAGGGGCGTGGGGCAGCAGCCCTCTTTCCTCCCAGGGGCCGGATCCCTGGGGGGCCGCTGGCCATGCACCTGTCCCCGGGGGGGGGCCGGCAAGGGTGGTGGGTCCCGCCGAGGGGGAGGCGTGGGCCGTGAAGGGGGCCTGAGAGAGAGGCCTGAGGCCGGTGCCCAGCCCAGAGCAGGCCCCAGCCGTCTTCTCTGCCCCGCAGCAATACAGCTCGTTCCTAACGGACAAACTGGACTGCGGCCAGCTGGGAAACTGGAGAGCCAGCCCCCCGGCGAACCCCCCGGCGCCCCCAGAACAGCAGCTCCATTCAGCAAGCGGCGACCTCCTGTGCGCCCCGTCCTACAGCCTGCCCTTCTACCATTACGGACACTTCCCCCTAGACTCGCACGTCTTCAGCGGCAAAAAGCCAATGCTGCCGGCCAAATTCGGGCAGCCCCAAGGATCCCCGTGTGAGGTGGCACGCTTTTTCCTAAGCACACTGCCAAGCGGCGGCGAGTGCCAGTGGCACTATGCCAACCCCCTGGTGCCTAGCAGCCCGTCTCCAGCTAAAAACCTTCCCGAGCCGCCAGTGAGCGCTGCCCGGCACAGCCTGGTGCCCAGCTACGAAGGTGGGTGGTGTTCGCGCCGGGGCGGACCGGTTCCGGGGCCCGGGAGTGTCAGAGGGGCATCCCTGGGGGCAGAGGGTGCCCTTCGCTGCTTCTCAGGCTCTCCTGCCCCCAGTGTGAGGCTGCCCGACAGGGAGACCACCCCAGTGGGGCCAGTTGGGGTGCCCGTGGGCACCGCTAACAGTAGGAAGGGCGTTCGGCCGCTTCCAGAAAAGTCCTGCTCTCGTTTGCCGCCGCCAGAGACGGTGATTGTCCAGACCAGCTCCCAGGAGCCTGCTGCATGTATCTCCCAAGTTGCTCTCCACTCCCCCCACTCCGAATGTGGGCGACTGGGTCTCCTCCCGAGCCGGAGCTCAGGGTGTGAAGCCGTGGTGGAAATTCATGGGTGCTGGGCCACAAACGCCACTCGGCAGCCCGGGCAGACAGTCCACGCCCTCCCGGCTTCAGTGCTTCTGTGACGGGGCTCAGGCACCGAGGGCCGTCCGGCTCCACGGTTTTCCCACAGAGGTAGGACTTGTGTTATGCCCAGATTTCGAGTCTCCCAAGACCGCCAAGGAGCCGATTCCGAAGTGAAGCACATGAGGGTCTTTATCGCAAGCTCGCTCTTGGGCTCCCAGCACGCACTGACGAAGCGGCTGAAGTTGAGAGCCCGAGCTCAGGGAAGGCAGGGTTTTTATTACAGAAGAGGGGAGTTTCAGCCCGGCAGAGAGGAGTTTCAGCTCGGCAGTACATCGATTGGTGGACGCTGAACAAAGTTGTCTTGTCTTTAACCCGGTTGGTCTATGCATGTTAAGACGTGACCTCCGCTTCTCGACCCGCGTGCCCTGGGACATCTGGTGCCCTCCTGATATGTATTGGTTCCGTGCTCATTGGCTGTTGCTATGGGATGAGCAAGATTAGGACATTCACAGTTCAACTCGGCCTTGGTGCCTCGTTGATCCCCGAGACTTAGGCCTGGCTGGTTCAGAAGCATCCTGAAGCCTGTCCAGCCTCAGTTTGGCCTTTCACTTGCAGCCACCTCCTGCTAGTGGCAGGGGAGAGGTTGTCTCCAGGGGAGCTGCCACCAGCTGCCCCAGGCCCAGGCAGACTCCTGTCTGCGCCCTGAGTCAAGCCCCACAGGGGTACAAGGTGGTGGCTGGGGTTTGGTGCAGGAGTGTGTTCCTGAACCTCCAGGCCTCACAGCCAGCCAAGTACAGGCTCCGGGGTGCAGTGGTCCAGCGTGGTCTCTCTGTGCTATAGCCCCAGTAGAGAAGCCCCCTTCATAGGCTCTCTGGAGGCAGAGAGGTCCGCCTCTCCGCAGGCTGCTTGCAGGAGCACCCCACACCTGCATTAGGGGGCAGGCTGCCATTTCTGAGCTGAGGGAGAGCTCCTGGGAGAAATCTCACCTCCTTGGAGATTATCAGGACTTTTTAAAAGTAGCTAATTTAGAACAGAACCAGCCACCTGGCAGTGCAGCCCGCCTGGGCCCAGTGACACTGGGCCCCATGCCCACCGGTGCCCGCACCGGTTCCCCAACAATCAAAGCAGGGATTTCCCCATCAGCCCAAGAAAGACAGACAAAGCAAGGATTTTGAGAGCCGAGACTACCTGCTTGAGAGTGACTCGAACGAATTATTTTTGTATGTGAAAGCTGGCCCGTGACATAAAACAGTTGATTTTGTAGAGTTGCTGTTTTGAGTGTGAAAGGGGTTGTAACTGCCTCACTGGTCACACACCATAAATAATGAGCCAGAGGTGCGAATTTGGGGCAATTTGTGATCGGCTTTCTAGTTTTTGTTGATATTAAAGGAAGAAAAAAGGTAGCCTGAAAGCGGGGAAAACCGGGGAGCAAGTGGCTGGTGCGAGGCACCTCGTTTGTGAGGCGCGGACGAGGCCTCCGCTCTCCTCGCTGTGGCAAACAGGCGAAAATAACCAGGGCGGGAGGGCTGCCCGCAGGTGCGGGGACCCACGGGTGACGCCAGGCCGGGACCGCTGGCGACGGGGCGCCCCGTGTCTGCGTCCTGGAGACGGAAACAACAAGCGTGCGCGGGAGTCTCGGGCCTGCTGACACGCTGCAGTGACAGGCGGCGACGTTGGGTCCT